CTCAATATCAGCTGTGAAAACTAGGCCGGGAGCTGATTGTGGAACAGACCACCAACTACTCATATGCAAGTTCAAGCTGAAGCTGAGGAAAATTAAACCGAATCCACAGGAGCCAAAATATGACTTTAATTTCATACCACCTGAATTTCAGAATCATCTCAGGAACAGGTTTGAGGCCTTGAACACTAACTAATAAAAGGATTAGGCCTATTAAAAGTTCTTTCCTTAGGGAGTTCTGGTAACCTAGAGTCAAGAAGCTGCACTGCAATCCCAGAGGTGTGTAGTTCAAATCCACCAGATGCTCTTTTGGAGAAGGAGGGACAAACTCCTCCTGCACCAGTTAGATCTGATTTGACTGCACACACACACAAAATAATTAAAAAGAAGTTCTTTCCTGATTGATTTCTAATACTGGCCTTCCATAACGTGTCATCTTCACCATGAATCCTAAATTCATGTTCTTAGTTCATGTTTGGTGCACTGACCAACAGCTCCACGTACCAAATAGACACAGAGGTGCAGGAATTAGAAATGGGCATACATGGGTCTGTTTTGGTTTTCAGACACTTTGGAAGGGAAGCTGATGAGATTGGATACAGGACAGAGGAAGCAGTGAATATATACCTCAGAATGGCAGTAGGGTTTGGTAGTATTCCAGAGGCTTCTGAGTCAAGAGAGGATGAGAGAGAGCCTTCAGGCAGAAGCGTGGAGAAGGTTTGTGGCTTTTGTGTTACTAGGACCATGACTCCTTTCCCACAGTGACCTAGGGAGTGAGAAGGGCCAACCTACGCTCTCCAGAGTCTTAAACTTCTGTGGCTATAGCCACCTAGGCCCAGCTCTCTTCATGCTTTGCTCTAGGACAGTGGTTCTCATGTAATGTGAACTGCCTACTCTGATTTGACTAAGCAGTGTGAATTTCCACAGATTTAAGAATGATGGTAGTAGAAGGGTTTCCATTGAGCCTGCAATTGACACAAGAATTTGTGGGCTTAGACAGTGGTATGTGCAGTAAAATCATAAGAGCTCTACCAATTGAGTCCTTCCATTCTATGATACCAATGCTTCATGCATGGGCCTCCCTGCCCTTTCCTCTCCCAAGATGCCAGATACATCACCTTGCCTGGAAGCTTCTTTATATTTCCTCTTAATCTGTTAGAAAAATTCACCTCTTAGGCAACTGCTGGGGAGAGGTAAGTATGAATTTATGATCTAAGTAATACTCAGAATCAGACTACTGCCTATCAGGGGAAGGTCTTAATAGAAGCCAGACCCTTACGTTATGTGAAGGCCAAGTGGTTGGTAAGTGTTAGCAGGAGAAGAAAGTCCTGAGAGGGTCTCTGCTTCTGATAGAAGGATAATTCCTCCCAGGAGCCACCAACCAGAAGTACAAGATTTCAGGGCCTTAGTGAAACACCTGGGCTTCAGCTGAGGAGAAGGTTGGAGTCCATTGCAGAAGCCGAAGCCCACCCTTTGTTAAAGCACATACCCCAGGTGCCAGCAATTATCTGTGTAGTTGTTTTCACAGGGGAAAAAGGCCAGAGAAACCAGTAACTAACTGAGACCAGGTGGCAGGTTTTCCTTGGTGTTTGCTGTCTTGTCAACCTTGATTTTATGTATTATTGGGTTTTTATGCTTGTTTGTTTGTTTGCTTGCTATTCTTTTAGTAAGCTTCATGTATTTCTATAATGAGTAATAAAGCTATTAGCAATCGTTGGAAAGTTACTGAGACTGGATACCTACCATTATTGAGGAGGATCTGCTGGCATTGGCTCAACCTGACTCCCTGCTTCAGAAACATCACAGACTGAAGAGGGAGAAGAGACCAGTAACTGGTGTTCTGACTCTCCTCTGATCACTTAGCTGCCTTTTACTGAAAGAGGTGAAAGCTGAACTGGTGGATTCTAAGATAGATCTAGGCTCTGACCAGGAGGGCTGAAGGAATCCTGTGTGGAAAGACACCTCAGACTGAGGACCACAGAGCACTGGGGCTCAGAGGGATAAAGACAAGAAAAGTCTTAGGCCTGACTCCCATTTCTGGTGTCACTGCTGCCTCCACAGGTAGCTGCAGTGCCCTGTGGGATCCCCCAGGCCCTGTAGCGGCAGGTGCTCAGCAGCCTTTGTCAAGTCGAGTCTCGCGTGCTGCCAGCTGCTGTGCCTTTCTTCCTGCATCTTTGTGCCTCCTGGCTGACTGCCCATCCAGAGCCTTGCAAGAGAGATCTAATTCCAGCTTCCTGTGGGAGCAGTAACGTCGTCTTCCTTCCTCTCAATCTCCAGAAATGTCTTTCCTCCAGGATCCAAGTTTCTTCGCCATGGGGGTGTGGTGCATTGGTGCAGGGGCTCTGGGGGCCACAGCACTGGCACTGTTTCTGGCCAACACAGACGTCTTTCTGTCCAAACCCCAGAAAGCAACCCTGGAGTACTTGGAGGACGTGGACCTGAAAACACTTGATAAGGGTAAGTAGAGACTTGCCCATCTCGGTACTTTTCCAGGGCATTGGGACTTTTTATAAACAATTCTTTTTTCCTTTCTTTTCGTTCATATTTAATTGAAAAGGGACTACAACAACATTAAGGAAAATTTAATAACCTTTTAAATTATCAAGTTTTTTTAACCTCTCAATAATAATTTTTACTTCTGCAAATTCGTGTGTGTGTATATATATGTAGTTGTGATCTTGGTGTAAGTGCTATTTTACATTTTATTTATATTCTTGTGATTTGAGTAAAAATATACAGGGAAAATTTATAGTTTTCCATTCAACAATTTACTACCATTTTGTTTTGTGATGTTAATTTCAGTTCCCTTGCTATAAAGCACTCTTATAATTTCCTGTTTCTCATTCTTATTCGTCCTGATTTCCAGTCCCTATCATACATTTAAGCTTTTCATTACCAAATGTTTTTCCTCCTTCTGTCCTTATCATTATGATTGTCTTGACCAGTTGCAGTTTAGTAATATTTTATGATTCCCAAAGTGTGTTCCCTAGACTTCCAGGCTCATGATATCTTCATGAAAAAGGAATTTCTGTGTCATATAAGTTTGAGAAGCAACATTTGTTGAGTCTCATATTCTTGATGCCCAGCACAGGGAGCAGCTTCATGAAACATGGACTAGTTTATTCTAATAGAAGATATGAGGCAGGCAGCTGGCATAGCTGTGGCATACGGAGATGCTTTGCAAGGTCACGCTTATAGATTGACCCACCCTCCATCTGCCTTTGTAAGGTTTTGCCTTAAGCCTCTCCTAGACTACTGCCCATCTCCTAGAGTACTGCACATCTGAACTAGCCTCTGTGTCTTCTCACTGTGTGCCCGGGGGATTGATTTAAGCTGATGGGATTTTAGTCATCCCAGTAGTAAAGGTGCTTTGATGGACATGAGAGTTTGATGGGTGAGCATTAGAGTGCCTCCCCTGGGTGGTCTCCAGGTTTGCCTGCATTTGGAAGCCACTGTCATCTGGAGGGAAGGCAAGCTGTGATTGGACAAGCTCATGATGTAGTCAGCCTTAGTGATGAACTAAGGAGCCTTGCTCCTTAAAGAAACCTCTTGAACTTAGTTCAACACAGTGCTTCCCAGTATTGTTTTATGGGGATGTCTCTTAGGTTTCAGGGACATGTTGGCCCACTGAACATCCCCACAGATGTTTACCCACCTCCACACTGTCCCTGCCTGCAGGTGATGCTGAGAACTAAGACTCAGCCTTCTCCCACCTCAACCTTTTCTCCTGGCGTAGAATCCCTACTTAATGAACATGGATCCCTCTAAGAAATACTAAATAATAGCAGTTTAGGCAAGGTATTTCTGTTCTCTTTCTCTGAACCGTACAGTTCTTAATTTGCCTTGTAATCACAGCAATAATAGGTACCATTCTGGGCTGCAGGAGTAATAAAATAATGACAAAATATTCAATATACATTGTGGGGTTTAAAATTAATGTTATAGAATGGACTGTGTATCAGTGGTTGAAAAGCTAATATGCTTTTTAAAAAGAAAAATTAAAACTGGAAAATAAAATGAGTAAATGAAATGCTCACAGCCTCTGAAAACCTGCTGGAGGGTCTTCTTTGAGTTGACTCTGCCTCAAAGGCACAATAATAACATAACAAAGGTTCACAGAGCTAGATTCAAAGTCAATCTGACCAGGTTGCTGAGCTTGAAATGTGGTATTGTATTACTGTATGGATTGACTCATGTCCCCAGAATACATGTGTGCCATGCTATACAAGTTTTGTAATGATCCACTCTGATCTAATTACCACACTCTTAATTTCATAATGGCACTGATAGAATGGGTATTTCCCTGGATAAATAACCAGTAACAACTTTGTCTCATAAAAGGCCAAAGAAAAGCCAGCAAAGAGGCAGGAATCTCAGTACCACTAAGAAAGAAGACCAAAGATCAAAACATGACCTTTGCATCCTGGTTTCTGTAGTGGGAAATCGTTTGACTTTGGAAGGCTGAGAAACATGGTAATCTCTGTGGAGCACCAGCCTACAGGTGCTGAAGGAGACAAGGACCTTTTGTCACATCTGACTGAGAGAGTAAACTGTCAACTGTCCTCTAAAGTCAGCACCTTCAATTTGGCCTTTTAGCCTCTGAGACTATAAGAGTCTTGTTTGTCAAAGCTGTGTGTCCGTAAGATCTCTGTTGTAACAGCTATCAGTGTCTGGATAAGAAAAAATGCTACCTTTCCTCTGTTGATTGTGTTGTACTTAACATGTTTAGTTAAAAAGGCAAAAACAAATCTCAGTTGACATAATTTCTTTGAATATGTTTTTAAGAGCAGGGCTTATTTTTCTTAAAGTATGTGATCATTTCCAGATTGTCAAAAGGATTATTGAAATGTCCAGTGACACAAGAGAAAAAAAATTAAGATTACTGTTTTACAGTAATCTCCCAACTTAATATTTACATTTCAGAAGAGATCAGGGTATAGTTTGGAGTATACCATAGTACCCCCAAAATACATTAAAACATTCCCTAGCTGTGTTTCTTCCTTGCCTTTCTGACATATGAAATGCTTATCCTTGTGCATGAGATACTGGGGTGCTAGCTTAAAGACTGGTGTCTCAAATCCACCAGCCGCTGGGCAGGAGAAAGACAGGCAGTCTCTTCACGTAGAGTTGAAACCTTGGAAATCTGAAGAACGGTCTCTGTGAGTCAGAACCACCATGGCAGCAATGGGTGGATCTGCTGATTGTCCTATTTTCTTACCTGGGATGGCCCTCCATGCGCTTTCAGATGTGCTTAGAAGTTTGGAGAGCAGTGGGAGACATACTTAACTCCCTTTTCGTTCCCTCAGAACCCAGGACTTTTAAAGCAAAGGAGCTCTGGGAAAAGAATGGAGCTATAATTATGGCTGTGCGGAGGCCTGGCTGTTTCCTCTGCCGAGAGGTAAGTACATTACAGTGTCTGTTTCATTAAAGGGGGGTGTTTGGCTGCAACGTTTCCAGTCAGAGGTTCCTGGACTGGTTTTTGCCCTTGGTCTATACTAGAAAGATCTCTGTTGTTTGTTTGTTGTAGTTATTTCTTTTGACTTGTGCTCTGTTCCAATTAGTTTAACAACTCACCAATTCTTGGGATTATAACACAACTCACTTCTTTTTTTTTTTTTTGACTCCCACACCTTCTTATCCTATGTTGTGCTATCTGGACTATCGTAACATTTCATCAGGGATGGGGATGGAGCAATTCCATATCCTTAATGCACAGGTGTCGTTGTTGTTGTTGTTGTTAGATACCATTGGGTCAAGTATAACTCATAGCAACCCTATGAACAAGAGATATGAACCCTGTTCTATCCTGTGCTGTCCTCACTGTGTCAATCCATCTCATTGGTGATCTTCTTATCTTTCATTGTCCCTCCACCTTTCCAACCAAGGAGCGCTGTGGCTCTACTTTTTCTGAGATTTATCTGTTTGTTCTTTTTTGTAGTTTATGGGATATAGAAGAAGAACTGGTACCTTTGAGCTGTGGTTTTCCCAACACCACAGCTCAAAGGCATCAGTTCTTTTGTCATGCTTATTCATTGTCCAGCTCTCAGATGCAAAGCAAGTTATCAGAAAGACCATGGCCTAAGTCAGACACAAATTGACATCATTATTTTGCAATAATTTGAGGAGGTCCCTAACTGCAGTCTTTCCCAGTGTAATATGTCTCCCAATTTCCTGACTGCTGGTGCCAAGGGTCTATTTTAGTTTCTCATAGTAAAATGTCATACTTTTTTTTACATAGTTGGTTTTTTTCCCCCATCTTTGGTTAGATATATCCCTAAATATTTCATCCTTTGAGTGACTGTTTGCTTTTGCTTTTTATTGTAGATTGTGTTTTGGGTTTTTTTCCCCTTATTTCCTTTCCGAGTTCTCTTATTTACTGTAGAGGAATCTGACTGGTATGTTGATCTGCTAAGACTTTGGGATTTTTTATAAATAGAATCATAACATTTTTAAGTAGAGATAGTTTACTTCTTTTTTTACCAGCTTGGATGCCTTCTGTTTCCTTTTCTTGTCTTATTGCACCAGCTAGGGCTTCCAGTACAGTTTTGAATATCCATGATGAAGATGATAAAGAGCAACCTTGAATGCCACCAATTTCTCTTCAGTGAGAGTAAAGTTTGCTGCTGGTTTTGTATATATACTTTTATTTACATTGAGGAATTTGCCCTCCATTCCAATTTTGTTGAACATTTTTCTCAGGAAAAGGTATTGAATTTTGTCAGATGCTTTTTCTGTCTCAAGTAAGATGATTGTGGAGTTCTTTCCCTTTGTTTAACTGATGTAGTGAATTGTGCTGTTTGAGGGGTGCCATCAAATTATAGAGACCCTGTGAACAACAGATCTGTTCCTTTTTCTGTGCCATCATGTGCCTGTCAGTCCATTTTGTTGAGAGTCTTCCTCTTTTTCACTGACCCTCCACCTAGTTGGATCCCATTTGATCATAGTGAATGACTAGCATTTTGTATGTCTCTGTTCATGAGGGATATTGATCTGTTATGGTCTTTTTGAATGGTGTCTTTGCCTGGCTTTAATATCAGAGTTACATTTGCTGCTTGAGAATGAGTTTAGAACATTCTATCTTTTTTCTGTTTTCTGAAATAATTTCAGTAGAATTAATGTCAGCTCTTCTCTGAATGTTTGGCAGAATTCACTGATGAAGCTGACTGGGTTAGGACCTTTTTTGATTAGTAGTGTTTTATGATCTGTTCAGTGTCTTCTTTTATGATGGGTCTGTTCAAATGATCAGCCTCTGTAGGCAATGAGTTTCTAAAAAATTGTCTATTTCTTCTAGGTTTGCAAATTTGTTGGAGTATAGTTATACATAGTATTTCTACAATTATATTCCTTTTCATTTCAGTTGGTTTTGTTGTAATGTCACCTACTTAGTACCTTATATGTGTTTAATTAGAGACAAGAATGCTTTGAGCCTATTGTCAGAAAAGACTAATTCTTGGAAAAAGACCTAATACTAGGAAAGGAGGCTCAGCAAAAGAGAGGAAGCCCCTCAATTAGATGGATTGACCTAGTGACTAGAACAGTGGGCTCAAGCATGGGGGAGATAATGAGGATGGTCCAGAGTAGGTCAAGATTTCAGTTTGCCATCTTTGAGAGTTGTAATTGACTCCACAGCACCTACCAACAACCACCTTTTTCTTTGTTAGATTTGTCCTGGGCTTGCCAATTTTATGAATCCTTAAAAAAGCAAACAACTTCTAGTCTTGATAATTCATTTCCTCATTTTTTTGTCCCTTTATTTACTTACCTTTATTATTTCGCTTCTTCTGAATGCTGCAGGCTTTACTTGCTATTACTTTTATAATTGTTGGAGATGTTGGGTAAAGAGGTTTCTTTTGCTTCTTTCTTTAAAAAAATATTTGTTTTTATCCTGGTTTACTTACAAAGTTTATATACATTGTTTTTCACACTGGATCTTACCCCTTTCCTTTACCCAACCCTCTGTCCACCCATCAAATTGTGTGACCCTATGATTAAGCCCCCTCTTCCCCAGCTCTTCTTGCCATGCACCCCTTGTTCCGGATTGTCCTCATACATACAGCACTTCATCATATATTACTTTTGGACACTTCTGCCCCTCATCTGATCAAATCCAGTGTTCAGTACCTCACCACTCTTTTCCCATTCTCTCCCCAAACTCCTCCATGTCTGCCCTGTTTTGTAACAGCAGGGTTATGCAGTATTTGTCCTTCTGTAACTGAGATACTTCACTCAGCATAATGTCCTCCACGCGTGTGTAATGTGTAATAATTTTTATTTCAATATGGTGTACTATTCCCTTATGTGAATATACCATAGTTTTTCATCTCTTCTTTTGCTGATGGGCACTTGGGTTGCTTCCATCTCTTTGCTATTCTGAATAAAACAGTAATACATATGGATGTGCATACATCTGTGGCTCTGGTTTATTTATATTCTCAGTAGTGGAATTGCTGGGTCAAATGTTGTGTTTATTTCCAACTTTTTGAGAAAGCACCAGACCACATTCCATAGTGGTTTCACTGTTTTACATTCCCACCAACAGTGAAAAGAGTTCCAATCTTACCACAACCTCACCAGCATTTGTTGTTTGCTGGCCTCTTGAACTTTGTTGTTGTTGCTGGGATGAGATGATATCTCATAGTTGTTTTGATTTGCATCTCTTTTAGAGTTTGGGATTTTGAACATTTCTTCCTGTGTTTGTTCACCATCTGAATGTCTTCTTTGTTGAAGTGTCTGTGCATATCCTGTGCCCATTTTCCACTTGGATTCTTTACCTTTATCTTGTTGTGGTGCTTGAGTATTCTATAAGTTCTTGATCATGATAAGTCCCTTATCAGACATGTCATTACCAAGTCATTTTTCCCAGTCTGGATTTCCTTCTTAGGAGGGAAGTTGGAGAAATTGGGTGTTTGTTTTGTTTTGTTTTTAATTTAATTTTTAGAAGGTCCAATTCATCTATTTTATTTTCTCCTGGTTGTAGATTTTTCACTGTGCTTGGAAGACTGTTTATGCTGTGGATTAGAGTTCTAGCTTTTCTCTGCTGAATGTTATAGTCTTTGATTTTATTTCTAGGTTCCTGATTCACCTTAAGTTAGATTTTGTGTATGGTATGAGGTGTGAGTCTTGCTTGAGTTTTCTGCAAATGTTTTTCTAATTATGCCAAAGAATGTTGTTGTTGTTGTTAAGTGCCATTGAGTCACAGGCAACTCATAGCGACCCTGTGAAGGAGAGTCCTTGACGCTTGGGTGCCTTTAGTCCTCTCTCCAAGTTCATAGGGTTTCCGGAGGCAAGCTATTATGGAAGTGGATGCCACTCCTCCTTCCACGCTTGTTTAATCGGGGAGCTCCACCCCACTCTTAGTCCGCATTGGGTAGCCAACCATTAACGCATTTGACACATCCGTGTCACAGGGTTCAGCCTCACAGCAACCACAAGCAACCGCCAGACGGCAACTTGTACACCAGGGCTGTACGACCTAGAGGAATGTCTGAACAAAAACAATGAAAGACTGGCCTAAGGACCACGAACTAAAAGTCACCCACCTACGACAGGACTTCGGAGTATTTTCGTTGTTTAGCAGGGCAAGTGCTTACTTGAGAATACCGGGGGAACATTTTGAAGACATTTACAAGAAGATGGCATCCTTTGAAACGTAAAAGGCATAGCATTATGCGTTTGCTGAGAGCTGGTGAAAGCTAATGGACCCATTAAAGGGAGGGGTCACTATCTCCCCACTGGGTGGAGGCCCATTTGCACTGCTTCTTGACAAGACTAATGCCAAGAGGTCACTTAGCTGGTGTGAAATGGCCAGTGGTGTAAGTCACTTGGAAGAGAACCTTTTCTTTTATAGGCATGAAAAAGACAAAATTTGTTTTCTGTGCCTCATGAATCTAGATTGTTAACAAGATTCAATCCATAGCTATTCACATGATTAAT